GCAAGGTCAAGTACTTTGGTCAGCATTCCACACTCGGCAGCTGGTGGAGCCAGGTTGATCCTGGCAGGCTGCCTCCAGGTTTGTTTTCCTGAAGGTGACGCTGCCCGTTCACCATCACACGGTGCCATCGCCCCCAAATGGTCTACTCATGTCCCTTCTGTCCTCTCTAATCCATCTCCAGAGAGGAGCCTGACATCTTCCCAAAACATGTGCCAACATTATGTCACATCTCTCAGTAATTCTCTTGTTTTTAGTATAAAGACGAAATTCCTTCACCATGGCCTACAATGTCCTAGGTTCTACTTCCTGCCATCTCCCATTTCAACCCAATCAGTACTTCTCCTAATTCTCCCCACTTAGCAACACTGGCCTCCCACTTCCCAAGTCCTTTCCCACCATGAACTTTGCCTGCACTGCTCCTTTGGCCATGTACACAGTTCTCATTCTCTGCACCTTCTTAAGGCCAATTCACCCCTCAGATCTCATCTCAAGCGCCACGTCCTCAGGAGAGTCAAGACTACCCATCTATAATGTAAACATGTGGTGCTATCAATTTCCCTGAAAGCACAGCTTTACCCAACATCCACTTTATATGCTACATTTTTATGTTTTGTTCAGTTCAAAATATTTTCTAATTTCCCTAGAAATTTCCTTTTAACCCTTTATTTAGAAATCCATTTCCAAATATATAAGGATTTTCCAGTTATCTTTCTGTTACTGATTTCAAATTCAATTACATGAGATCAAAAATCACACCATTGGCCCATCAGGTGTGGTTCAATGGCTGAACAACAACCCATGAATACCAGGAGGTCATGACTTGATTCCCAGGCTTCAGACTCGATCCCCAGTAGGAAGCATGCAGGAGACAGCCAATTAATGATTCTCTTTCATCATAGATGTTTCTATCCCTTTCTTTCCCTTTCTCTCTCTGAAATCAATAAGAACATGTTTTTTAATATTTTATTGATTACTTACAGAAAGGAAAGGAGAGGGATAGAGAGCTAGAAACATCAATGAGAGAGAAACATCAATCAGCTGCCACCTGCACACCCCCCACTGGGGATGTGCCCACAACCAAGGTACATGCCCTTGATCAGAATCAAACCCGGGACCTTTTAGTCTGCAGGCTGACGCTCTATCCACTGAGCCAAATCAGTGTTGGCAAACATTTTTTTAATATTTTATTATTTCAATCCTTTTAATTTGTTCAGAAGCAGCTACCTTGCTGAATGTTCCATATGCACCTAAGAGAATGTCTATTTTGGAATGAAGTGTGCAAATATCATATCCAGTTTGTCAGTTTGTGTTACTGGGTTCTTTTCTATCCTTACTAATTTTCTATCTGCCTGTTGCATAGAATTCGTATATATACTAGTGGGCAAGTGCACAAAATTCATGCACATTAAAAGTGAATTAGAGGAATTATTTTAATATTGCTATTTGCCCTTTCTATATAATAGAAGTGTCAGAGATGAAATAAAATTAGTAAAATGTATATGAAAATCTTCCTCCTATCAGAGTCCGGGGCATACCACAGTACCCAGAATCAAGTCCCCATCCACCTGCATGTACCTCAAAATCGCTTGAGACTCAGACCCAGCCAGCCCCACCCCCATCAAGCCCTGCCAGGCAGGGGGCACAGCCTCAGGGCCCCCATCAAGCCCTGCTGGGCGGGAGGTACAGCATCAGGTCCCCTGGCCCAGTGCCAGGCGGGGGGGGGTGGTCTGCGCACACCCTCAGGTCCCCCATTAAGCCTCGCCAAGTAGGGGGTGCAGCCTGAAGTCCCCTGTCAAACCCCACCGGGCAGGGGGCATGACTTGAGGTCCCCCATCAAGCCTCACTGGGCAAGGGGACACAGTCTCAGGTCCCCCATCCTGGCCCGGTTCCACGCAGCCTTAGGTCCCTGCTGATCGCTCATTATGGCTCCTTATGGGAACCCTACCTCTGCTGTGGGTGTAGCCATCTTGTGATGGTCAATTTGCATATTATATCTTTATTATATAGGATATATATTGATTGATTGATTTCAGAGAGGAAGAGAGCAAGAGATAGAAACATCAACAATCTGCCTCCTGCACACCCCACACTGGGGATCGAGCCCACAACCTGGACATGTGCCCTTGACCAGAATCGAACCTGGGACCCTTCAGTCCACAGGCTGACCATGGGGTCAAACCAGCTAAGGGCTGTATAGATTTCTGAGAGAAGTAGTAGAGTTTCCAACTGTAACTGTGGTTTTGCCTGTTTCTCCTTTCAGCTCTATAAGTTTTCACTCTGTGAGTTGTGAAGCTCTGATGGTAGGTGAACACTCTGGGGATTGTTACATCTTGGTGAACTGTCCCTATAATGCATGTACCTCTCTATTCCTGGTAACTGTCTTGTTCTAAAGTCCACTTTGTCTGATATTAATATATTTTAAGTGCTACATGTTTTACTACCCTACTTATTACATTTAAGGTAGGTTTCTTATACGTAGGCTATGATTAGACACTCTCATTGTGGTTTTAACTTGTATTTCCCCAATAACTTATTATATGTTGAATATCTCTTTATATGCCTCTTAGTTTTTCATATATTTTCTTTTTTAAGTGGTTTTTGTCCATTTAGAAAACTGAGCTATATTTTTGTTTCTTGGACATCCTTAACTTGTTCGTGATCTGAGGGGACAAGTGTTCAACATTCCACCATTCCTTAATGTACCTCATCCACCTGCATGTACCTCAAAATGCATGATGATGCTAGCTTCAGTTTTCTCCTGTTGTCCTTTACCAATTTAAGGCATTCTCTTGTTCCTAGTGTGTTAGGATTTTTTTTCAATCATGAATGGGTTTTGAATTTGATCAAATACTTTTTCTACATCTATAGTTCCTTAGTTCTTTAGTTCTATTAATGTGAAATATTACAATTATATGAATTCAAACATCAAATGTTGGTTGCACAGGTGCATACATTTGAATTCCTGAAGTTCAAGTTCAACATTCCCCAATTAGTCATGATATTCAATGTGCTAACTTTTTTTTCTTTTTTTCTTTTTTTTGTGCTAACTTTTTTTTAGGATTTTAGTTTTGATATTCATGAGGGACACTACTCTTGTAATTTTTTTTTTTTGTAATGCAGTATTTTGGCATAACATTTTTCCTGGCCCTACAAAAAGATTTCCTTTTCATCTTTGGAAGAATTTGTCTATTATTCTAATTATTTCTTCCTTAAATGTTTGGAGGAATTCACCAGTGAAGCCATCTGAGCCTAGGGTTTTCTTTGTTGGAAGATTTTTAATTACAGTTTCAATTTCTTTAACAAAGGTCATCTATTTTTTCTTATTTCACTTTCAGTAAATTGTGGTTTTTCAGAGAATTGATGTATATACATTATTAAATTCACTGGCATAAAAATGTTTACGATATCCCCTCACTGTCCTTTTTTTTTTAATATATTTTATTGATTTTTTACAGAGAGGAAGAGAGAGGGATAGAGCGCCAGAAATATCGACGAGAGAGAATCATTGAACAGCTCCTCTTGCACACTCCCTATTGGGGATGTGCCCACAACATGCCCTTGACCGGAATCGAACCTGGGACCTTTCAGTCCGCAGGCCGACACTCTATCCACTGAGCCAAACCGGTTTCAGCTCCCTCACTGTCCTTTTAATGTCTGGGGGATCTGTGGTGAAGTTCTATTTTCATGTCAAATATTAATCATTTGATTTTTCTCCCTTTTTAAACTTTCTTAATCAGTTTTACTAGTTAGGCATTTCTCAATTATACTAATCTTTTCAAATAATAAACTTCTGCCTTTTCTGATTTTCTCTTTTGTTCATCTGTTTTCTGTTTCATTAATTTCTATTCTTACCTTTATTATTTCCTCCACTCTACTTCCTTCTGGTTTACCTCACTCTTCCTTTTCTAGCCTCTTGAATTAGTTTAGATCACCGATTTTAAATCTTTTTCTTGTCTAATAGTATATGCGATCAAAGTTATATATTTCCAGCCCAGCTGGTGTGGCTCAGTGGTTGAGCGCCAATCTATGAACCAATTCACGGTTGGATTCCTGGTCCAGGCACATGCCAAATTGCAGGCTCAATCCCCACTAGGGGGCATGCAGGAAGCTGCTGATCAATAATTCTCTCTAATTTTTGATGTTTCTATTTCTCTCTACTTCTTCCCTTCCTCTCTAAAACCATTAAAAAATATTTTTTTTTTAAAAGCTATACATTTCCATCTGAGCATCATTTAAAGATATTGTCTCACAAACAAATCAATATTTTTAATCCTCACCCAAGAATATGTTTTTATTAATTTTAGAGAGAGGAGGCGAGAGAAACATAGAGAAACTTCGATATGGGAGAGAATCATCAATCAGTTACCTCCCATACACAGCCCAACCAGGGATTGAACCCACAACCTAGGTCTGTGCCTTGACCAGGAATCAAACCTGCAACCTTTTGGTGTATGGGACAACGCTCCAACCAACTGAGCCACCTGGCCAGGGCCAAATCAATTACTTTTTTAGAAGTCATTCAAATTCTTTTTTGGTACTGAATAAAAATATTCTCCTAGGAATCAGTAAAGAGTCAAGTGAAAAAGGACACAAGGAAGCTCCATAAGGGAGATAATGCTCCACTTCCTGATGGGGTGGGGCTTATACAGGGATGTGTGTTTGACAGAAATGCCCCTTGAGCTATACAACACTAGAAGGCAAGCATCAGTACCTTTTTATAGGTGAAAAATTTTTGGCTAAGAGGCCTTAAATAGGATTAGCCAACATCACACTTCTGGCCCCTGAAAGAGCCAGAGTGAAGCTTATATCATCAAAACCCATGTAGTTTGCCCTCGACCACATATTACTTTATATGTACGTACACATGCCTATACATACACATACACATGCACATATAAAGAAACAGAGACACACAGTCCCCCGCCAGGACATGTTTAACGTGTTGACTGACAAAATGTTTTCCATCTTTATGAGAACCCTGTGCTCCTCAGTAAGCTCACCTTATTGCCATCAAACAGACAGAGGCGCACGTGTCTGCTGAGGAGCTGGATGCTCACTCCCGGAACAGGAATCATTTTACAGCTCCAAAGGGTCAGAATCAAGGAAACACGACTTGCTCTTGACCTAATCTAAGAAAAATTAGTTATGAAAATGTTCACTTTTGTGACTAACAAGACAAAATTCATTTTCAAAGCATCTTTTATAAATACGTAAGGAAATATACATAATAATGTACAAATAACAAAAAAAATTTGCAAACAAATATACACCCACAAGAAAACTGTCAATAGTATGATTACTTTAAGTCAAAATTTTAGGTATATTTTTAATGACAATTTATATTTGAAATATTTGCACTTTGGTGTTAATGTATAAAACTGTGAATGGGAAGAACCGCCATACAATCAGGTAAGATGTATGAGCACATTCACACACAGTCACTCCTCCACAATGGGGGTGAGGGCAGACAGTCACAACATGTGTAGCTTCCAGCCAGGTCCTCCTTGATTTAATTCCAACCACTTAGCTACATTGTTCCTTGGCTTCCTAAACAGATGTTTTGACAGAGAGAAGTCACTGACCACGGGACATGACTGCTTGGTTCACCTTCACAAGTACAGTTCAGATTGTCCATAAACAAATTTCATCTGGTTCCTAATTTAAGAACATCTTCCATTCTTAACTTTCTACCTTATGATCATAGTCCTTCCATTTAAAATACTTACATCATTGATAAAATAAGGCAACATCTAAAAGCCTCACCTTTTCATTTTAAGAAATGAGAGCTGGGTGTAAAATTCATAAAGTGAAAAGCCATTTATTCCAGTTTTCCAGTACTAGTACACTAAACAGACCAAATATGACATCTTTATTGACTTGCAATAAGGGATATTTAATACATAGAAGGTTCCAGACAATTCTTGGGGTGAGAGGAAAAGCGGTACTAAAATTCTATGCTACTCCTCTCCATAACACCTGACCACAGTAAGTCTGCTCCCTCCTTGAGGCCCTGGGGCAGGAAGGGGGAAAGTGGAAGATAAACAGGAAGGGGAGTGATGCACTCCAACATGGTGTAGATCTGCTAAAGAGTTGGAGAGTACAACTAAATGAAGAGTGTTTCCTACAAAAATCCTTTACTCTAAGGAATCAAAAAAAAAGTATAATCAGAAAATACTTATTCTTACTTAACATAATGTTGATAAATAATAATTGCTGAGGCTGACCAGCAGACCCTGAGCAATGGATGAATGATTACTCTGACGCACGTTTCTGTGAAAGAGAGAGCTAAGGGACTGCTTAGCTATAGGAACCAAACAGCCCCATTCACCTGCCTCCTTAGGCTTTTATTGTACCTATTGTACCAACAGCTTGAACTAAATTAACTTCTCGATACTATCAGCAGGGTAAGTAGCCTTGAGAAGACACATGCATTTGCAGCGTCCTTTAAGCAAGGTGATCTAAAGACTAAACATAAAGATTTCCGTAAACACTGGGGGCTCAGACTTGTTTGGAAAAGTCAAGGCAGGAGCTGCCGCCTTTGGCAAGTTCTCTTAGAGGCCCCTAACCTTTTGGAGAATCCTCCTTACAGACTTTCCAACCAAGTCCTGTGCTTCCCCACAAATAATAATGATGATGATAGTGATAGTGGCTAACATTTCCTGAGTTATCATCATAAGCCAGGCACTATTCTCTGCCCTTCACACACATGATTCTCTCAATAACCCCATGTGGCAAATATTGTTTTTATTCCCTTTCCATAGATGAAGAAATTGAGGCAGAGAATGACTGAAATAGGTATTATTTCCTTTGTAACAATAGGAGAAGAGAGCTATTGGAGAATAGAAACAAAATAAATCACAAACCCAACTTTTGTCTTAGCTATGAAACTCATTGAGTATTTCAAAATCACAGAACAGAAACAATGTCTTTGTTTTTAATAATGCATTAATCGATTTGCATGTTACTGGTATACTTGCAACCATGGCACAATCTGGAAAAGCTGTAATTTAGTAGCTACACTTACAGTGCCTGTCTTAGCATCCCACAGGAGATCCTTGAAGGCCAGCTGTGAAGGAGTGAGCTCTGGCTGTAAGAAGTAACTTGCTCGAAATTGATTCCCTGCAAAAATAATGTTTTATTTATTTTCTTACAAAGAAAGGAATCAAATTCAAAACCAAAAATCCATTATGCTATGCTATAAACTTAAGAAACAGACATCCAAAAGGCCAGCTGCTTCTTGTGAATTGGCTTCCTAAAACAGAGGCACTAATCAGGATTTACAGACAAAAAACAGGAAACACAAAGATAGAAGAAACACATAAGAGCTGATCACAAGCAACTTTAAGAAAGATCTGAAAGCCTTTTAGGCCAATAACATGGCCCGTGATGAAGGTGATTCATTCATATATTTTTTGTAAGATTCAAGAAATCTGTAAATATTTTTTTTGGAAATTTAGAAAAATATATAATCATTAACGTTACTTCTTTACACAAAACCATGATACTGTTCTCCCAAACTTTAGTCATGAAGAACACTTATTACAAAATCATGTATTCATTGCAGAAATCATCTTTGACTTCTTACTCTGTGCCAGGTGCTATGCTAAGACCTGTAAACCCAAATGAGAACAGAGAAATGTGGCCCTGCCCTCATGCACTTACAGTTGAGTGGGGAAAACCATTTAAAAATTAAGTAGATTCCCAGCCAGGGTGACTCAGTGGTTGAGTGTTGACCTATGAACCCGAAGGTCGTGCTTTGATTCCTGGTCAGGGCGCATGCCCAGGTTGTGGGCTCAATCCCCAGTAGGGGGCATGCAGGAGGAAGCCAATCAATGACTCTCTCATCATTGATGTCCCTATCTTTCTCTCCCTCTTCCTTCCTCTACAAAACCAATAAAAATATATTTTTAAATAAAATAAAATGTTCTTATGGACAAATGTTGTCAAGTACAGGGAACTCCAAGAACAAGTAAGATAACAGAAAAGGCGAATGGAGGAAACTCTTTGGAAGAAAAGCAGAGAAAGGGAGGCTTAGCCTGGGAGGGACAAGACTGGAGAGGCTGGTTCTCAGAGGGGGGAGGCTCTGGGCTTGCCAGTGTCACTGGGGAGGGAAGAAGTGGTGGGTCCAGCTGAGGACTCAGGGAGGGGCTGACAATAAAGAGCCATGTTTCTGGAATGAAGGGAAGAGACTGGAGCCCAGAGTACAGGAACACAGGAAGACAGGCTGGCCTCTGATCGCATCAGGGGTCCTTCCTCCACTGTCACGGGAAAGATGAGGAAAAACTGAGTGAGCACCAATGAGATATGAGGCTCACCATCTTTTTAAGCAACTTATTTGGGTTAAACAAGGAAATTAGACATAAAGCTTAACTAAGGTCTGTGGCGGCTGAGAGAACCTGGACTGTTACCTTCCTCCAGCAGCTGGAAGAGTGTGGATGGCCTGAACCCAGCAGGAATGGCTCCCATCGTGGTCAGCACATCAACAGTGTTTATCTGCTGAAGATGCTAAAAACAAATAAATTTGCTGTTTTCATTCATGTTTCCCTCACCTCTACAGCATTGTCTTTATCATTTACAGCAACTGCAACCCAGAAAGGAAAGCACAGTGTACAGATGTTAGTGAACAAACACAGCAATTTACCCCCAAGTTCCTGAGAGGAGCCTTCACTGAATCCTGGCATCCCGCAAGGACCTAAGCCTCAAGCTGTGCCCAGTGAGCTGAGCCCTGTGCTCCGGCACATCCCTCACCAAAATGTCCCCCTCTGTCCTATCCCACAATGTACCATCATGTAACAGATGAGTTAATATCATAAACTCACATGCACTGACAATGGCTTTTTTTTGTATATAGGTGTACACCACAAACGCACACACACGCACTCACAAACATGTCCATGTGAGACCCAGGGTAAAAAGTCAGAAAGAATAATTATTAAGCTGTTAATGGTGGTTATTTATGGGGGGAGTGAATTTTCATTTTTCTATGTAATTTTTAAGTGATAAGATTATAAATAATTTCTTACTTTTAGAGGTTTCTAGAATTTTTCCTACTAAAATTTAGCAGCAGTCTTTACCTAAATGATAGAAGATGCAGGCAGAATCAGTGAGAGAGATGACCAAGCTCTCAAATCTACTCTTCTTACAGAAAAGACCTGATGGGGAATGCTGGTTGGAGTGCAGGCTCACTAACCAGAAGCACATGTTTCATGCTTTGTCCGTCCAGGCCTGCACCCTGTCTCACATTCAGCGCTCCTTTACAAAGCCCCATCCTGCTTTGATGAACTCTAGCAGAACTGGTAGATAACAGAGTGAGACATCATTGACAAAACAGGAGGTACCAACCTCTGAGAGAGCTTTTTGGACAGCACTCCAGTGAGAATCAGTTCTGGAAGACAAAACAGTAACGTGAATACACAGACAGGTCACGCTTATTCACTTAGTTAGGCAACTTCATTAATCAAAGAACGAAGTACATAACTATCAGTAAGTCCTTTTTTTCCTTTTCCAAAACTGTGAGAGAAAAGGTTTTTGGGTGTGCTTGTTTGTTTTTTAGGGAGAGAAAGAGAGAGGGAGAATGGGAGAGAGAAATATCAATTTGTTGTTCCCTTATTTATGCATTCATTTATTGTTTCTTGTATGAGCTCTATCGGAGACTGAACCCACAACCTTGGCCTACTGGATAATGCTGTAACCAACTGAGCTACCCAGCCAGAGCTGTCAGTAAGTTCTGAAAACCTAACATTATCCAGATGTAGCAAAGAAAGAACAATCACAAAATTAAAGTAGCAAGGGATCTTTAAGCAAACAATAATACGAAAAGTACTATTCACAAACTGTAAATTGTCTCTTACCAAAAAAAAAAATGAACTATTTACAATGATAAAAAATAAACAAAGTTTCCCAAACCTTTAATTTATTTTACTTGGATATCCCCCTAGGCCTTGGTACCTATGCTCAGCTTGTGCTCCCTGTGCTGTCTCTTCCGCCACCTCCGCATCGCCTTCACTGCCTTCTTCACTTGACTCGTGGCCCTCTTCTTTATGATGGGGCTGAAAAATGATTGAAATATAAGGCACTTTTCTTACATAATGCAAAATCAACCAATACAATGACTTTCAGAGAGACTTGAGTGTAGATGGGAATTTACATGAGGGGCATATAAAAAATCAGTGAGGGGAGAGTGCAGGGGAGATCCAAGATGGCTGCTCGGGTAGACATCGAACCGTGGCAGCACCCAATTTCAATGGAATACAACTAAAATGTAGAGTGGACATTGCCCAGAGCTACAGGTAGTCGACTGACTGAAAATTCTACAACAAGAAGGGAAGAGAAAACCAGAAGGAAAATCAGAGGAGGTGAAAAAAAAGCCTAAGGTACAGAGACATGCTGCGCGTCCGGCCGCACGCGCGCGCGGAGAGGTCACAGCCGGAGAGGAGGAGAGGGATGGGTGCTGCCTGGCGTTCCCTAGCAGGAAGGAAATAAAAACCCCAGCCTGGGCTGAACCCCGAACCGGCAGCGCTGAGCCCCCCGAACCGGCAGCGCTGAGCCCCAGTTATGGGCCAGACCCTGGGGACCCAGGCTCCGGCAGGGGGAGACTGGGCTGTGAGGCGAAAAGCAGGGCCCCCGGAGTCGCGCGCAATGCGTGCGCAGAGGACTGAATGTTGACTCTGATGCTGGGTTACCCTAGCCGGAAGAAACAAGGCCTCCGGCAGTGCTCAGCCTCAGTCCGGACTGCTCTGAACCCCAGTTCTGGGCCAATCCCTGGGGACCCAGGCTCAGGCAGAGAGAGACGGGGCTGTGAGGTGGAGTCCAGGGAGAGCGGCGAAAGGCCGGGGCCCCCGGACTTGCGCACACTGCGCGCAGAGGACAGTCTGTTGACTCTGATGCTGGACTCCCCTAGCGGGAAGGAGAAAAAAAGCTCCAGGCTGGGGGAACGCGGAGGAGCCCTTGCGGAACGCCGGCCAACCAGCACCAGCAAGGAGGCGGGCGACGGGGCCCCTGGGGGGGGGTGCCCCTGAGCCTTCGACCGCTGAGCACCGGCAATGGAGCCAAGGCCGGGGGCTGCTCCCTGGGCGGCGCCGTCCCCGGCAACAGGCTGAAGCAGCGCAGGAGCCCGCGGAGAACAAAGGGGTGCCACAGGCCAACCTGCTGAGCTCCCAGGACAAGGAGGAAGAAACCAAAGAAGTTCTCAATGTGAAGAAATCAAGTGAGAGCAAAAAATAGTAAAATTACTTAAGAAAGAATACAAAGAAGTTCTTGAAAAATCAAAGACTAAGTCAGAACTCAACTCAACAGCCAACACTGCAACATAAATGCGTTTCAAAAAAAAAAAGAAAAAAAAAGGACAGAATGTTGGAACAGCGGCGGCCAGGCCTAGAGTGGCCAGGCACAAGGCAGTGGCAGCAAGGCCCAGAGCAGCAACGGCCAGGCCCCAGAGCAGCAGCAGCCAGAACCAGAGCATCAACAGCCAGCACTGGAGCAGCCAGACCTGGGGCAGTGGCAGCCAGGCCTGAGGCGGAGGCGGCCAAGCCCAGGGTGGCCAGTCCAGGAACACCCAGACCCGGAGTGGCCGAGCCCGGAGAAGCCGGGCCCAGAGCAGCCGGGGTGGGAGCAGCCAGACCCAGAACAGCAGTAGCCAAGCCCAGAGCATCCAGGTCAGGAGTGGCCAGGCTCGGAGCGGCCGGGCCCGGGGCAGCCGGGCCCAGAGCAGCCGGGTCGGGTGCGGCCAGGCCCGGAACAGTGGCTGCCAGGCTGGGAGCGGCCAGGCCCGGGGGAGCAGCCGGGTCGGGTGCGGCCAGGCCCGGAGCAGCAGCTGCCAGGCTGGGAGCGGCCAGGCCCGGAGCAGCAGCAGCCAAGTCCAGAGCAACTAGGTGGGGAGCGGCAGTCACCAGACCCGGAGCAGCTGATTGTGGAATGAACCAGAGCAACAGAGGCCAGGCCCTGAGCAGCCAGGCCCGGAACAGCTCGCTCCTTGCCTGCCCCTGCCCCACGGCTGCCTCTCAGACATGGCTAGAAACTTTCGCGGGAACTTGAGGGTCTGCTAAATCAAGTGATGAAGGCTTAGATCTGGATGTGTTGAGTTAGTATAGGGCTGGGGTGTTGATCTGTGAGTGCCTTGGGTGGGGCCTGGATGAGGCTAGTTGATCTATTAGGAAATGTCTTTTGTGTGAAGTGTATCATTGGGCATGTGGAGGTATTATTGAGAAAATGCTAAGTAACTGATTTACTATCTGAAAAGGGATTTACTATCGGGGAAAGGGAGGGAAGAAGAGACTGAACATAAACTGTGCACCTATGGATGAGGACAATGGGGGATGGGGAGGGGGCGGAGGGTGAGGTGGGAACCTGGTGGAGGGGGGAAGAAATGAGGAACCTTTGTAATAATATGAACAATAAAGATTGATTTAAAAAAATCAGTGGGAAGATTTCAACATGTGGTTGATTGTTTGGAAAATTACAAAGATAGAGGTAAAGAGAAAATTTAATCAAAATACATTCCAGATAGAATTCATCCAAATGAAAATAAAAAGTGAAATAAAGGTACAAACAAAAGAACTCAAACAGTGTTAGGAGAAAATAATCCTGAGAGGGAGAAGCCATTTCCAATTATGATGCCCAAACCAGAAATCATACATGAAAAGAAACACTGACAGACTTAGCTACATAAAAAATAAATGTGGTTGAAAGTCAACAAAGAAAACACCTGTCACAAATTTTCAGGAGTTAATATCATTATTATTAAAATATTACAAAAATACCAATAGATCAGTAAAAGTCTTAAAAATCCCTTATAAAAATGGACAAAAGAACTGAAAAGGCAATTTACAAAGAAGAAACAGAAAAGGTCATAAAGCATATGACATGAAGCTCAGGTCCATGAATGAAAATCAAAACAATCACAAGTCCTGCTGGTATGGCTCAGTGGTTGAGCATCTACCTATGAACCAGGAAGTCACAATTTGATTACCGGTCAGGGCACCAGCCTGGGCTGCAGGCAATACTCAATAGGGGGCATACAGGAAGCAGCCAGTCAATAGTTCTCTCTCATTATTGATGTTTCTGTCTCTCTCTCCCTCTTCCTTCCTCTCTGAAATCAATAAAAATATATTTTAAAAAACAATCACAAGCCTATTTTACCATCACACCAGCAAGAAGACTGGCAATGGCCGTGACTACAAATCTGTGGGAAGCATGTTCTCTTGACACCGGGGTGGAGAACAAGTCGGCCTAACTTTCTGAAAGGCAAAACAGCAAATGCAGTCAAATGTAAAGGTTAAGCCCTCTGACCCAGCACTGAGCACCTGGGCTCCAGCAGGGAACAAGCTGGGAGTCTACCAACTCACCTGCAGAAGGAGCATCACAGAGGCTGCGGGGGTCTGCCACTGACCCTCCACTTCCGCCTTTCTGACAGAATCCCTCCCTTCAGCGAGGAGCTGGCAAAAATACTACGTTTTCAAGCCCTTCTTGCCGCTAGACATTGGAAAGAACTGGAAATAGTCTTAAAAAGATGGAAGTTTGGGCATTTTGACACCTTGTTCCCTTTCCTTCTCTTTTGCTGTTAGGAACTGTTAAAAGATCTAGCAACCAATTTAACCTACAGAGACACCCCCGGGAGAGCTGCCCCCACTGCCCAGAGGGAAACATTAGATGGGGCCTCAGCACCTTTTGACTGCTACCTCCACCTTCTGCCAAGCACGAGAGAAATCTGCTTCTACCTAACTTAAGCCACTATTTGGGGATTCCTAACTCATAATGGAAGCTAACCATAGCTTCTTCACCACAAAACTGATAGCTGTGATAAGCAGAAACAACCTGAATGTCCACCTGTGAAGCTGGAAGACACTGCTGCCACTGAAAAGATGAGCCAGACCCATTGTGGGATAAGACAGCCACTCGCCACCTGTAGCTGCTGGGACTCCTCCAAAATGAGATGCACCTTTACTGGTAAGTGTAAAATACACACAGGAATTCGAACTTAGTATAAAAAAATAATTTTTTACTATTGATCAGATGTTGAAATGGTACTATTTTTGATATGTTGAATAATATACAATATATTATTAAAAGTTATGTCACCTGTTTCTCTTTTACTTTTTTTTTAATATATGGTATAATGAAAAATATATATTTGGTCTTTATTCCCAGTTCTTGGCAAGAGTTCCTAAAACCCTTGGAATGTCCTGACTGACAGAAGGGTCCTGTTCTTCACAGCTTCCAGGCTGGTGACACTTCCAAGTGCTGGGGGAGTGGCACACAGAGCGGGCATGGAAGTCCCAGGTCCCAGCCCCTCCACCTCCCACACGCTGGGCACCTCTTCCTGAGTCGGGTCCTTCATAATAACCTTCGTAATAACACAGTAAGCTGTTTTCCTGAGGTCTGGGAGTCCCTCTAGCAAATTCTCAAACCTGAGGAGGAATGTGGAAACCACTGAACTTATAGCTCTTACAAATACAGGAGGCTCCCAGGACTTGAGACCGGCATCTGAAATAGGGCAATTTGTGGGCTGAGTCCTTACCTGGGGGGTCTGCTAACTGCAGGAGTTAGTGTCAGAACTGAATTGAACTGTTGGACCCCTGGTTGGTTTCAGACAATTGGTGTGGAAAACAACACATATTTGGTATCAGAGAAAACCATATAGTTGGTTAGAAGTGGTGTCAGGGGGAAAAAGACATCTCAGTGTGGTTAATAGAAAAATCTTAATTATATTTATAATTTGCATTAGGTTTCTATTAAACAGCACTGATCCCAACAGATTATCTATGTGTATTGTCACAGAAAATGACGATGCTATTTCATGAAATATGAAAAATAACAGGTCACAAACATGAACATAGAGTTTGTTCATAAGCTAGTTGAGATCATATATGTGTGGAAGTAAACACCAAGTTAACTGTGGTTTTGCTTTACAACAAATAATAAGCCTCAATTAATTTTTATGACCAGCACGAACCCACACAGCATCTTGATTGTGAGATGACATTATAGGGCTCACCTCCATGGGAACACTCACAGATCCCAGGACTGTTAGCACACAGTATTTCCCCATGCCCTGTCCCTCAAAATTAAAGCGAATTCTACACCTCAAGGCATTCAATAGTCTGTTGATCCAAGAAATCAGCTTAACTTTTATGAAAAATGAAAAGGTGTTGAAGGAGGAAAAGAATAAGCAAAAATACTAACCTCCAGGTAGGTTCTGGGAACGAGACCTTTGTTTCCTTTGGCATTTTTAGCCATCCACCAACCATCAGGGTGTTTTTCTGTTATAAGGAGAATTTCCCCTTTCTTAAAGAAAAACAAAGTAAAAAATGTTTAATTAAATTTTATTCTTAAAATAAGAATTACCAACATTAAAACTATTTTTAAAAATTTAATGAAGGATAAAAATCATATGGTCATATCAATAGATGAAAGAAAAGCATGTGACAAAATCCAGCACCCACTTATGATAAAAACTCTCAGCAAAGTGGGAATAGAGGGGACATATCTCAACAGATATGGCAAACTCACAGCCAACATCATACTCAATGGGAAAAACTAAAAGCCATTTCCCTTAAGACCAGGAACAAGACACTTTTACCACTCTTATTCAACATAGTACTGGAAGTCCTAGCCACAGCAATCAGACAAGAAGAAATAAAAGGCATCCAAATTGGAAAGGAAAAAGGAAAACTGGTATTATTTGCAGATGACATGATACCCTAAGATTCTACCATAAAACTACTAAAACTAATAAATAAATTCAGTAAAATAGCAGGACAGAAAATAAATATTCATAAATCAGTTGTATTTTTATACTCCAACTAGAGGCCCAGTGTACAAAAATCATGCACTTGAGGTCTTCAGCCCAGCCTGTGCCCTCTTGCAGTCTGGGACCCCTTGGGGGATGTCTACCTGCTGTCATGGGCTCACTCCCTGCAGCAGTTGGGCACCCCTTTCACAGTCTGGGACCCCTCACTCCTCACCACCTGCCTGCTCACTGCTCCTTCCTTAGCGCTGCCATGGAGGCGGGAGAGACTCCCGCCACCACCACTGCGCTGCCTGCCATAGCTGAGCTTCTGGCTAAACAGCACTGTGGGGTGCACTGACAACAGGGGGCAGTTCCTGCATTTAGAGTCTGCTCCCTGGCGGTCCGTGTGCATCACAGTGTCTGATCATTCTGGTCATTCCGCTGTAACAGTCACTTAGGCTTTTATCATATACTAGCTGCCAACCACCAGCTGGGGCCTTCCTCCCTTCCCCCGACCAGCCTGCCCCCTTGTTGAACTTCTGAAAGAACTCTAATTGAGGTTAGCTTGCTGCTGGGGTCGAGCTGAACAGGATTAAGCGAGTCCTCCTACAGTCCCTCCCCGGCTGACCAACCTCCCGGGTCCCTCCCTGTCCCTGATTGTGCACCAGTGCTGTCCCTCAGCCTGGCCTGAGCCCTCTTGCAATCCTGGCTGAGGGACCCCCCACCTCCTGAGTGCACAAATTTCGTGCACCGGGCCTCTAGTATTTTAATAACTAAGTACAGTGCCAGGTAGGCCACTGAAATATCAGGTTATCACTTTGTAAAGGATATGATTGTCTGACCACCATGCTGTACATCTGAAGCTAATACAAAAGAATACTGAATGTAAACTGCAATTGAAAAATTAAATTAACAAAAAGTCTTAAAAGGATAATAAATAAATAAAATGAAAAGTAGAAGAGTATTATTACTCTTTTGCCATTTTATTACCATGTAACGTTGGTAACAGTTTCACATGACTACTGCTCATTAAATCACAACTATTACTTATTTAAATGAATTGAGTGTCTAAAAACTTAGATCGGGAACATGTAACACAGGTACCCAGGTGGAATCTCCTTATTCTGTTAGATATGCAAACTGGGCCTGAGCTTACTTGTTTCTACCTGCCTTAAATGTAAGGTCTCCAGCCTGCTGAGCAGTAAAATCTCCAACAGCAATGTATTCTTCATCTGTTGCCTGCCATTGAGATTCATTTTCCTGTTTCTCTTCCTCTTCTTCTTCCTCTTCCTCTTCCTCTTCTGTTTCTTCCTCCTCCTCACTACTTTCTTCACTTTCTTCTTTATCAACATCGTTGTCTTCTTCATCTTCTTCAGCAAAATCATTATCTTCCTCTCTTTCGGTAAGTGCCTCAATTCTGCAAAAAAATAATTCTATGACAAGGATCACTTGAAATAGTACCTAAGAAGAGATGAAGTATGAGTGTAACTTCTCTACATAGAAGCATTAGCCATGTTCGAAACTATCAAGTGAAAAAAATAAGGAAAAAGCACGGCTAATAGTTTCTACCATCGAGCTGAGAATATGGGACTTGGTGGAGGAACTATTTAGCAGGAAGTGACAGGGTGGAGCATGAGCTGGACTAGAGGCCAAGAGACTTGTAGTCTAGTCTTGGATTCATCCACTCAGCAAACGGCTTGAGCACTAACACACAGTGCTTAAAGCACGGGCTCTGAGTTTAAATTCTGGCTCTACTCCTTCTTGCTGAGGAATAACTGTGATTTACAGGCAGTAAATCCTAAGCTCCTCATTTCTCATTGATAAAGTGGAGATAATAATAGCCTCATGAGGAGTATATGAGTTACCAACTCATAGTGTTTGGAAGAGTGTCTGCCCCTTATCACCAAACTTGTAATAAAGGTCAGCACTGACGATGCTGGTCTGTGTCAGACACAGTGGCTACAAAGGTAAAACAGACAAATGCCCTGTCCCCAAGGAGAATCTAGGAAATGGATAATTACTCTAGAGCTCAATAGATACTAGCCACACACAGGATGCTAAAGAAACAAGAGGGGCACCTAAATAGACTGCATGGCTGCGGATCGGGACTCAGAAATTAGGTCTTGAGAGATGAGTTGGAGTTAATCAAGTAAAAGGAAGTAGCAAGGAGCGGGTGGGAGAAAGCAGGCTCAAGATCAGGGACCTTCAAGCAGGTCATTGGAGAAAGAGAGAGGTGAGGCTGCGCAGAGGTGAGCACCCTCTGTAAGGCAGTCCTAAAATGAAGTGACGGAAGGGCAGAATCTGCTCCGCACTTCAGAAAGAAGGCTACACGCGGGAGGAAGGCTAAAGGAAAGGTGGCTGTGAAGAGTGATACAGGGCCACAGTACGGACTAAGAAAACAGCATTAGGGAGGAAGAGAAAGACTTTTTGGGAAGATGAAGGAGGTAAATGAAAGGTGAGGGAAGGGAGAGGAGTGCAAATAATACTGATACTGACTGAGATAAGTTGCTAAATCTCTGAGTGTGACTTATTCATTCAACATTAGCAAAGCATCAAATGTTCACAGAACACCTACTGTGTGACAGACACTGTGTGCTGTACAACAACAAAACAGGCCTTTGCTCTCCTACAGCTTGTGTTATAGAAGCTTACCTTTAGAACGGTCATGTTTAGGATCTCATTTTATTGTTTGTGTTGGTTTTCTTAGCTACATCTTTACCTTATTTAGCAGTGATTGCTCTAGGTTTTACAATATGCATCCCTAACTTACATTGTCTAACCTGAATACTACATTTCACCCAAAATGAAAGACCTTTCAGATGATATCATCCCTTGTGCCCTGCCAGCCCTTTTAGCTACTCCTGTACCTCTGTTGTCACATAATGACTTCCGCAAAGAGCTGACCCTTACTATTTGCAGATTCCGTATTTATAAATTCACCTACTTGCTAAAATGTATCTGATAACCCCAACCAACACTTGCAGTGCTTCTGTGTTCATGCTCAGATGAGTGCAAAGCAGCAAAAAATTCAAGTTGCCGATGCACAGGCTCGCAGCTGAGGTTGAACAAGGCGACACTCTGCCTTCTTTTTTCAGCTCATGGGCGGAAAACAAGTATCCTTTTTACAGTCTACTTAGTGCCAGGAATTTTGCACTTTTGTTGGCAATTTTGCCATTTAAAGTGGCCCCAAAAAGCGGCCAGGCCCGGAGCAGCCGGGTCGGGTGCGGCCAGGCCCGGAGCAGCGGCTGTCAGGCTGGGAGCGGCCAGGCCCGGAGCAGCAGCAGCCAAGTCCAGAGCAACTAGGTCGGGAGCGGCAGTGACCAGACCCGGAGCAGCTGGTTGTGGAACGAACCAGAGCAACAGAGGCCAGGCCCTGAGCAGCCAGGCCCGGAACAGCTCGCTCCTCGCCTGCCCCTGCCCCACGGCTGCCTCTCAGACATGGCTGGAAACTTTCGCGGGAACTTGAGGGTCTGCTGAATCAAGTGATGAAGGCTTAGATCTGAATGTGTTGAGTTAGTATAGGGCTGGGGTGTTGATCTGTGAATGCCTTGGGTAGGGCCTGGATGAGGCTAGTTGACCTATTGGAAAATGTCTTTTGTGTGAAGTGTATCATTAGGCATGTGGAGGTATTATTGATATGAGAAAATGTTAAGTAACTGACTTACTATCTGAAAAGGGATTTACTATCGGGGAAAGGGAGGGAAGAAGAGACTGAACAAAAACTGTGCACCTATGGATGAGGACAATTTAAAAATACATATGTAGCCCGGCTGGTGTGGCTCAGGGGAGGGGGCGGAGGGTGGGGTGGGAACCTGGTGGAGGGGGAAAGAAATGAGGAACCTTTGTAATAATATGAACAATAAAGATTGATTTAAAAAAAAAAAAAAAGAAAGAAAGAAAAACAGCAGCAACAATTCTGAGTAGCCCAGCTGGCATGGCTCAGAGGTTGAGCATTAGCCTATGAACCAGGAGGTCATGGTTTGATTCCTGGTCAGGGCACATGCCCAGGTTGCAGGCTTGATCCCCAGTAGGGGGCATGCAGGAGGCAACTGATCAATGATTCTCATCACTGATGGTTCTATCTCTCTCTCCCTCTCCCTTCCTCTATGAAATCAATAAAAATATTTATAAAATAAAAAAATAAATAAATAGAATCTGGGAGAATCCAAGATGGCTGCTCAGGTAGGCACCTAGCCGCAGCCGCATGCAACAATTTCAATAAAATACAACTAAAATATAAAATGGACATTACCCAGAACTACAGGAAAGTCGACTGACTGGAAATTCTACAACGAGAAGCAAGGAGGAAACCAGAAGGAAGCGCAGAGTAGCTGTAAAAGCCTAAGGTACAGAGACACGCGGCGCGCGGAGAGGACGGAGCAGGAGAGGAGGGAGGCCGAGTGCCTGGCTGGCGTTCCCTAGCGGGAAGGAGATAAAACTCCGATTGTGCTGGGCCCCAGTTCTGACTGCTCTGAACCCCAGTTCTAGGCCAGACCCCAGGGACCCAGGCTCACACAGAGGGAGCCGGGCTGAAAGGCGGAATCCTGGGGAAGAGGCGAAAGGAGGTCCCGGAGGCGCCACGCAGAGAAGGGACGGCCAGAGAAGGGACGGCCGGCTGTGCCATGGGATTGCCTGGCGGGAAGGAGACAGGGGCTCCAGTCTGTTCTGAACGCCACCTCCAACTCCACCTCCAACTGAACTGAACCCCAGTTTCGGGCCCATTGGGGGAGAGCATAGACTGTGGCAGCAGGCGATCGAGGGCACCTATCTCTCAGAGGCGCTTGCAAGGAGTACTGAAGGACCCTGAGTCTCAGGAGTCGCATAGGGCGGGGCTGACGGAAGCCAAAGCTGTAGGCTCCACCCTGAAACCCCGCCCCATCAGGAAAGCTGCCTGCGAAAATGCCTAAACCAAATAGATCACAAACGAAAGAAATGGAGGACAAAAAGCGACTGGACATAGAGTTCAAAACCACACTTATAAGGTTTTTCAAGAGTTTCCTAGAAAAGGCCGATAAAATAAATGAGACTTATGAGGATATGAAAAGGGATCAACAAGAAATAAAGAATACATTGTCTGAAATAAAAAATATTATACAGAGTCCTAAAAACAGAATAGAAGATCGCAAGAATCAAGTCAAAGATTTGGAACATAAAGAGCCAGAAGACACTCCTCTGCAGAAGCTAGAAGGCAAGAGAATCCAGAAAATTGAAGATGATGTAAGAAACCTCTGGGACAACTTCAAACGATCCAACATCAGAATTATGGGGGTCCCAGAAGATGAGAGAGAGCAAGATATCGAAAACATACTGAAAGAAATAGTGAAAGAAAACTTCCCCCACCTGGGGAAAGAATTGGACTTACAAGGCCAGGAGGCACACAGAACTCCAAACAAAAGGAATCCAAAGAGGACCACACCAAGACAAATCATAATTAAAATTCCAAGAGCAAAAGACAAAGAGAGAATATTAAAAGCAGCAAGAGCTAAGCAAGTAGTTACCTATAAAGGAGCATCTATACGTTTGTCAGCTGATTTCTCAACAGAAACCATGCAGGCCAGACGGGAATGGCAAGAAATATTCAAGGTGATGAATACTAAGAACCTACAGCCAAAGATAATCTATCCAGCAAAGCTATCACTCAGATTCGAAGGTCAGATAAAGAGCTTCACTAATAAAAAAAAGCTAAAGGAGTTCATCACCACCAAACCAGAATTATATGAATTGCTGAAGGGGGTTCTTTCAGAAGAGAAAGTAAATAAAGATAAAAATTATGAACAACAAATACGTAACTATCAACAAGTGAATCTAAAAACCAAGGAAATTAAAAAAAAAGTCTGAGGAACAATATTAACTGTTGAATATAATAGAATCAGAGGTATGGAAGGGGAGTGAACTGATGATTCTTGGGGAAAAGGGGAGAGAGGGATGTGGGAAGAGACTGAACATAAACTGTGCACCTATGGATGAGGACAATGGGGAGTGGGGAAAGGGGAGAGGGTGGGGTGGGAAGGGGGGGGAAGGAACATTTGTAATAATATGAAAAATAAAAATTTATTTAAGAAAAAAATAAATAATAAATAAATAAATAAATAAATAAAGTGGCCCCAAACATACTGCTGACGTGCTGTGTAGTATTCATACGAAGACTACAGCAGTAAGGGTCAGATCTCTTGGGAGGGGAAAGAAGGGAAGTCACAACTTTGCCCTCAGGTAATTTATCATCTAGTTGGGGAACAAAGCCTAGATCTGAAAAGCGAAATAAATGTGTGAAAATGTATGAAAATACAGATGCTGTCTTTAATGTCAATGTTCATATGTAAAAAAAAAAAATTATTTAGATCGTCTACTTGCACACGTTCTCCTTTCATAACTATTCTTTGGAAGCTGGAGGCAGAAATTTGCGCTGCTTCCTGCTGGGGGGAGGTAACAGCCTTTGCAAAGTAGAAAGGAACCTGATGGTGTAAACCAGTGGTCAGCAAACTCATCAGTCAACAGAGCCAAATATCAACAGTACAATGATTGAAATTTCTTTTGAAAGCCGAATTTTTTAGACTTAAACTATATAGGTAGGTACATTGTTATTAACTTAATCAGGGTGCTCCTAAGCTGGCTTTTGCTAAAAATTCAAGAGGCCAAAGAGCCGCATGTGGCTCACGCGAGCTGCAGTTTGCTGACCACTAGTGTAAACAAACCAAATTTGTAGGAAGCAGAAAGGGACATTATCAAATGCTGATCCTTATTTTTATGCTGTATCCGGGAAAATGCTAAGGATGGAGGTGCAAGGACTCTAGGATCCCACTGATTTCCAGGACTGAGAAGGGCAAAGGAGCTGGTATTGGACTTAACCTTCGAACCAGAAACAGCTCCAAAATATGGACAAAAACACAACACGCTGTTTGACATCACTGAGCATCAGCTGAGCAAGACTGCGGTCTTCTGCATGGCTCCTGGGCTCTCACACTGCTACTGTGCTCTGTGACCGTGTCCACGGACTACCCTGTCAGGGCCACTTGTTTATATCTGTGCTATCGTGTCTGTCTCCCGCGTGAAACACTAAAACTGGAGACCTCATGTCTGAGAGAAGGGAGGGAAGAAGCTTACTCGGTTCTACTTTCTCTGCTTACGGACACGGCGAGCTCCTGCAGTTGGTGGGTCAGGCTGTCCAAGAGGCTGAGCTCCTCCTCCTTTTTCTGATGATAGTTTCCAACAGGGGCAGGTTCATCAGCCTGGAGAGAACATGAGTCCATTTCACTGAAAAATGTATTTGGTTCCATTGTATTTACTTTAAGAGAAAAGACAACTCCTATGCACGCTAGAAGACTAAGTAAATAGCTATGAGAATAGGCCTCCCTTAGGCAAATAAGATGGAAAGAAATGTGGATGATTAGTTAGAATGTAAACCAAACGAGAAATTAAATTACTTGCTTTTTGTTTTGCTCTGCAGTGGGAAGGGCTAATCCCAGGTGGATGGCCTCCCAAGCACCCCCGCCGGGGCAGTGAGGTGGGAGCTGTTTCCTCATCTGGGAAACAGCCCGCAGGTTCCCAAATGGAGTCAATCTGCATGGAGACATCTGTGAAACAGATGTGCTGGGCTATCAGTGTCTGAAATACTTACTTTGTTTAATTTTTGAAGAGCGTTTTTATTTTCATCAATTGCCTGTTTTAATTGGATACACCTAAATTTTAAAAAAGAGAGAAAATATATTGATTTTTTTATTGTCAAAACCAAAAAGTATTCTATAAAATCATACATAAGACTTTATTTTTTTTTTTTACTTTTTTTTTTTTAATTTATTTTGAAGGAATATTTAATATTAACATTGTGAGTTATTATCTTTTGCATATCCAAGTTACACATTTCAAACAAATCGTCATTTATATTTACAGTATACAGATGCAAAGCATTAATTTCCCACTAAATCATCACTTTCTTAAAATGGTACATGTGATGTTATGAAATTAGCTATTAAGCATTCAAAATAGTGGAAAAGAGGTCCTTTCTTCAGTCTTTTTTTTTTTTTAAATATATATATATTTTTTTGATTTTTTTTTGCCCCCCCTACCTTCCTCCCTCACATCCCCTCCCTCCCCAGAGTTTTATGTCCAATGGTTGTACTTATGTGCATGTATAAAAGTCCTTCGATTGATCTATTATCTCCCCCAGATCTTCCTCCCCTCCCCGCTGTAATTTGACAGTCTGCTTGTTGATATACTATCTTTATATCTATCTTTTGGTTCATCAGTTTATAATGTTCTTTATTATCCACAAATGAGTGAAGTCATGTGGTGTTTTTCTTTCAATGACTGGCTTATGTCACTCAGCATGATGTTCTCCATTTCCATCCAGGTTGCTACAAATGATGAGAATTCCTTCTTTTTTATGGCAGCATAGTATTCCATTGTGTAGATGTACCAAAGTTTTTGGATCCAATCATCTGCTGATGGGCACCTAGGCTGTTTCCAAATTCTAGCTATTGTAGATTGTGCTGCTATGAACATAGGGGTGCATATATCCTTTCTGATTGGTGTTTCTAGTTTCTTGGGATATATTCCTAGGAGTGGGATTACTGGGTCAAATGGGAGTTCCATTTTCAGTTTTTTGAGGAAACTCCACACTGTTCTCCACAGTGGTTGCACCAGTCTGCATTCCCACCAGCAGTGCACGAGGGTTCCCTTTTCTCCACAACCTCGCCAACACCTGTCGTTTGTTGATCTGTTGATGTTGGCCATCCTGACAGGTGTGAGATGGTACCGCATTGTTGTTTTGATTTGCATCTCTCGAATAATTAGTGACTTTGAGCATGTTTTCATGTGCCTTTTGGCCTTCCTTCTGTCTTCTTTTGGAAATATTCTATTTAGGTTCATTGCCCATTTTTTAATTGGATCATTCATCTTCCTTTTATTTAGTTGTATAAGCTGTTTGTAGATGTTGGAGATTAAACCTTTATCAGTGGTAACATTTGCAAATATGTTCTCCCACATTGTGGGCTTTCTTGTTGTTTTATTGATGGTTTCTTTTGCTGTAAGAAAGCTTTTTATTTTGATGTAGTCCCATTTGTTTATTTTCTCTTTAGCTTCCATTGCCCTAGGGGCAGTATCAGTGAAGAAGTTCTTTTGGCATATGTCTGAGATTTTGCTGCCCGTGGATGCTTCTAGTATTTTTATGGTTTCCCGTCTGATGTTTAAGTCCTGTATCCATTTTGAGTTTACTTTTGTGTATGGTGTAAGTTGGTGATCCAGTTTCATTCTTTTGCATGTATCTGTCCAATTTTCCCAACACCATTTATTGAAGAGACTGTCTTGACTCCATTGTATATTCATGCCTCCTTTGTCAAATATTAATTGAGCATAGTGATTTGGGTTGATATCTGGGTTCTCGATTCGATTCCATTGATCTATATGTCTGTTTTTGTGCCAGTACCAGGCTGTTTTGAGAACAGTGGCTTTGTAATACAGTTTGAAGTCTGGTATTGAGATCCCTCCTACTTTACTCTTCTTTCTCAGGATTGCTGTGGCTATTCGGGGTCTTTTATTGTTCCAAATGAACTTTTGGAGAGTTCTTTCTAGGTCAGTGAAGTATGCCGTTGGTATTTTAATGGGGAGTGCATTGAACCTATAGATTGCTTTAGGAAGTATGGACATTTTGATGATGTTGATTCTACCAATCCATGAACATGGTATGTTCTTCCATCTGTTTACATCTTCCTCTATCTCTTTTTTCAGTGTCGTGTAGTTTTCCGCATATAGGTCCTTTACTTCCTTAGTTAAATTTATTCCTAGATATCTTAATTTTTTTGGTGCGATGGTAAATGGAATTGCTTTTTTAGTCTCTGTTTCTATAAATTCGCTGTTGGTGTATAGAAATGCCATAGATTTCTTGGCGTTAATTTTGTATCCTGCTACATTGCCAAATTCATTTATTAAGCCAATTAGTTTTTTAATAGAGTCTTTTGGGTTTTTTATGTACAATATCATGTCGTCTGCAAATAAGGATAACTTTACTTCTTCTTTTCCAATTTGGATGCCTTTTATTTCCTCCTCTTGTCTAATTGCAATGGCTAGTACTTCCAGTACTATGTCAAAGAGGAGTGGCGAAAGTGGGCATCCCTGTCTTGTTCCTGTTCTTAGAGGGAATGGTTTTAGTTTTTGCCCATTGAGTATGATGTTGGCTGTGGGTTTATCATATATAGCTTTTATTATGTTGAGGTATGATCCTTGTACTCCCACCTTGTTGAGAGTTTTTATCAGGAAAGGGTGTTGGATTTTATCAAATGCTTTTTCTGCATCAATTGATATGACTATATGATTTTTATCTTTCAACTTGTTTATGTGATGTATCACGTTTATTGATTTGCGGATATTGTACCATCCTTGCATTCCTGGAATAAATCCTACTTGGTCATGGTGTATGATCTTTGTGATGCTCTGCTGGAGCCGATTTGCTAGAATTTTGTTGAGGATTTTGGCATCTATGTTTATGAGGGATATTGGCCTGTAATTCTCTTTCATTGAGTTGTCTTTATTGAGTTGGTTTTGGTATTAGGGTGATTTCATTGAGTTGGTTTTGGTATTAGGGTGATGCTGGCTTCATAGAAGGAGTTTGGAAGTGTTCCTTCCTCTTGGATTTTTTGGAATAATCTGAGGAGGATAGGTTTTAGTTCTTCCTTGAATGTTTGGTAAAACTCTCCTGTGAAGCCATCTGGCCCTGGGCTTTTGTTTGCTGGAAGTTTTTTGATGACTGTTTCAATTTCTTCCCCAGTCACTGGTCTATTTAGATTTTTAGATTCTTCCTGATTGAGTTTTGGAAGGTTGTGTTTTTCTAGGAATATGTCCATTTCCTCCAGGTTGTTCAGTTTATTGGAATAGAGCTGTTCGTAGTATTTTGTAACAATTCTTTGTATTTCGGCGGGATCTGTTGTTATTTCACCTCTTTCGTTTCTGATTTTGTTTATTTGGGTCCTCTCTCTTTGTTTCTTGGTTAGCCTGGCTAGGGGTCCATCTATCTTGTTTATTCTTTCAAAGAACCAGCTCTTGGTTTTGTTGATCTTACGTATTGTTTCTTTGGTCTCTATGTCATTTATCTGTGCTCTGATTTTTGTTATTTCCTTCCTTCTGCTTACACTGGGCTTTTCTTGTTGCTCTTTTTCTAACTCTTTGAGTTGTAGAGTTAGATCATTTGTTACCCTTTTTTCTAGTTTTTTGCAATAGGCTTGTAGGGATATGAACTTCCCTCTCAAAACTGCTTTTGCTGTGTCCCATAGATTTTGGATAGTTGTGTTTTCATTGTCATTTGTTTCCAGGATGTTTTTAATTTCTTCCTTGATTTCTCTGGTAACCCAGTCCTTGTTTAATAGCATGCTGTTTAGTCTCCATGTGTTTGATTTCTTTGGATTTTTTTCGTTGTAGTTAATTTCCAGTTTTATGCCACTATGATCTGAGAAGATGCTTGATATGATTTCTATCTTCTTGAATTTGAAGAGACTTTGCCTATGTCCCAAAATGTGGTCTATCTTTGAGAATGACCCATGTGCGCTTGAGAAGAATGTATATTCTGTGGCTTTGGGGTGGAATGTTCTGAAGATGTCGATTAATTCCATCTGGTCTAGCGAGTCATTTAGGATTGATATTTCTTTGCTGATTTTTTGTTTAGATGACTTGTCAAAGGGTGACAGTGGGGTATTAAGATCTCCTACTATGATTGTATTGCTATTAATCTCTCCCTTAATGTCCTCCAGCAGTTTTTTTATATATTGGGGTGCTCCCGTATTGGGTGCATATATATTTACCAGGGTTATTTCTTCTTGTTGGATTGCTCCCTTTAGTATTATGAAGTGACCTTCATTATCTCTTGTTATGTCCTTCACTCTGAGATCTAATTTGTCAGATATAAGTATTGCTACCCCAGCTTTTTTTCCATTTCCATTTGCCTGGAAAACCTTTTTCCATCCCTTCACCCTCAGTCTGTGTGCATCTTTTTTTCTGAGGTGGGTTTCTTATAGACAACAGATATATGGGTCTTGTTTTCTTATCCAATCCGTTACCCTATGTCTTTTGATTGGAGCATTTAGTCCATTTACATTTAAAGTTATAATTGATAGATACTTATTTGACGCCATTTTTATTCTATACCCCTGTGTTCCTTCTTTGCTTTCTGTTTCTTTAACTTTACAGTAGACCCGTTAGCATTTCTTGCATTGCTGGTTTGGTGGAGATAAATTCCCTTAGTCTGTTTTTGTCTGTGAAGCTCCTGATTTCCCCTTCAATTTTGATTGATAGCCTTGCTGGGTACAGTATTCTTGGATTCAGACCCTTCCTTTGCATGACTTTGTATATTTCATCCCATTCCCTTCTGGCCTGATAAGTTTCTGTGGAGAAATCAGTTGCTAGTCTGATGGGGGTTCCTTTATATGTAACTTTCTGTCTCTCTCTGGCTGCTTTTAAAATTCTTTTTTTGTCGTAGGTGTTTGCCAGCTTAATTATAATGTGTCTAGGGGTTGATTTTCTGGGGTTCATTTTGCTTGGGACTCTGCGAGCATCTTGGATTTGTGTGGGTTTTTTCTTCTCTATCTCAGGAAAGTTTTCTGTCATTATTTCTTGAAATACGTTTTCCATGTCTTCCTCAATTCCCTGTCCTTCTGGAACCCCTATTACTCTAATATTGTTTTGTTTTGTATTG